TCAGTCTGGTCACCGGACACGACCTATAGAAGAAAGCTAAATGGATGATCTGTAAAACATTTTAAAAACAACATTCATCGTTTCTTTAGTCCATCGTCCATATGACGAGTGACTCCTGGTACCTAATCAATGTCACGAATTATAGAGTTAATCCTGATAAGCAACAACTTTCTCTTGAGAGTCGATGCAAGTTCTCTATCTACCGGCCCCACTTCAATCTTTAAAGGGACGTTAATGCCACCACCTCTGCGAAATCGGCCACCGGGGTCGGGACGAGGCTCTCCAATAGCAATTCTGTTGACCAAAAAATGTCGGCGTTTGTTACTTTCATGTTGTGTTTGTTGATGACTGTTTTCATGCTGTCCATACAGCTGTAGCTGACTTTTACGTTGTTTTTGTTGAAGAGGCTGTGGTATTTATGCTGGTTCTATAACATGTTCTATAACATGTATATATATCTAGATTATAGGAATGTTTATCATTAAATACTGTCTGATGAGTGCGTAGCACGAAACTCGGAGTTACAGCAAAATCTTGCCTCTTTGATATCATATATATAAGTAGATTTATGAATTGAATAAATTGAAGAAAAAGGCACACAACTTGCAACTATTATTCCTACTCTTTATTTGAACGTTTCGGCACTTCGGCCTTCTTCAGCAAAACTCTAGATTTATGTATATTAAAAGATTATGAATAGGAGACTAAGAAAGCAAATTATTAAAGCCTTTATAAAGATTCGATGCAAATCGAGATCATAATCGAACAAATCTGGAGATACATATGTTCATCGTACATCGTTAACTTACCCAGTTATTTCTGTYGTTCTTGCAAAGGACCAAAGAACCGGAACAAGTTCTTTTTGAAGATGACCAAGTCGTCTTCTATCTGGTTCTCTTAGCACTTCTAAAGCTTKCCCTTTTTCTCCGTACTTCCGTTTAACTACAAACTTGTCGTTATCTCTATTAAGATGAAATGAACACTCGTGGTATCCCTTTAAAACTGCGTTAAAAGCCAGCTTTACGACTGCATTTGAATCCATTGTAGTTGAATGAGTGGCACGCTAATTTTAACAGAACATCGGGTGGAATGGACACTAAGAAACTTGTGTGTCAGTGACACTGCGCAACTGTTTGCCTTAATAATTAAGTTAGTTAAAGTGYTAGTCATTTCGCAATGAAACGCGCTATAGATCTGGCCAATAGAGCCCTAGCTTATTTTGTGCGCGCACTGCGCAACTGTTTAATTTGCCGTAATAATTGAGTTAGATAGGGTGTTGGTAATTTCGCAATGTAACGCATTATAAATCAGGCCAAACGAGTTCTCATTTTTTCTTTGTCTCTACGCCATGGAGGACGAACGTGCAGCAGAGTCATACTTTGAAGTCGAAGTTACATTACCAAAAAAGTACAAAGCGGCTTTTCAGGAGTTTTTAGCTCAGCCTGAAGGCAAAATTTTAGAAAAAGATAGTCAAAATGATGATRATGAACAATCGATAGTAGAGTGTGTTGATATCAGTGACGAGCACGATCAAGAAGAAGATCTAACGCGAGGTAAGTAAAAGCACATACGTTATTGTTTCTAGTGATATAAGAATAGATTCATAAAATTAACGTATTAAATAGGACGAACACCAAAGGTTGCTGCCATTGAACTTAAGGCTTGGCTTAAGATGCACGTTGTGGGCCAAGCAAAGTTTGCTGAGCTTGTATTAAACCGCAAGCAGTCCACCCTGTGTGATATCCTGCGCGTGGCTGGCAGCACGTGGCCAGACCAGCGTGGCTATATATGGAACGAAGTTCTAGACTTTCTCAACTCCCCAGAAAAGAAAAAAAACCTTTTGGACACGATTAAAAAGAGTAAGTATTTTAACTCACTAGATAGTGTATATATCAGTCTTACTAACTGTAAATATCCATCACATAACTCTATTTCCATTTTACCACATTTTTTGATGCATTTCATATTAAGTAGAATGTTAACTAGAACGCTTTCTAAAAACCGACAGCGAAGACAACTACACCAATTACAATGTCTATATTCTATACGTACACAGGTCCCAAAAGAGTGGCAGATGAGTCGGAAACTGGCTCACAAAAACCGCCAAAACAGAGAAGAACTTTTAAAGACTTCGAGCTGGCCAGCCTCGACAGCCTGTTCGTTGTGTATCAGGGAAGGCCGCCCTCGGAAATGATTAAAAGAACGGCCACGTTTTTAAACTTCAACGTGTCAGAGGTAATTGCATTGATATTTATCTGGTTAAAAAACAATCCGGGATTCATATGTCCTTCTTAGTGGTATTATTGCTGTAAATGTTATCAAATTATTGACAGGGCGATCAATTCATAGTTTCTTTTATCCTACTAGGTCTCCGTTTGGCTTCAAAACCATCGGAATCGTGCAAAAACCGGCCAGKACAAGCYAGGACAATACAAACCAAACGAGTCGAATGAAGGGCATTGAATTGTACATTGTAGTATATTTTACCAATAAATCTCTCAAAAAATTACATTCGAGTTTTCATTGATTATTTTATTGAATTAATTGTAGTTGCATTAAAACGTGGAGTTTTCTTGTTAATAAATAGTTTCGAAAGAGTGATTTCCGGCGGTGTTTAAATAATCCTGACCAGTCACACGATAATAAGCCGCGCCTGTCGATAAAAATCGATAATTAAATCTATCAATCGATAAAAATCGATATTATTTTTTTGTGTGAGTTCGATTTTTATCGATTTTTAGATACAATCGATATCAATCAGATCTCTTGCTTTGATTTTTATCGATTGGGGTAAATTTAATCGATTTTTATCGATTGACTACTCCGGGACATTTCAAAC